CTCTCTCTTGCTCTCTTTCTCTCATTCTCACTCATGCGCGCATGGTGGCGAACAGTTTGCTTAGTATTTCTATTTCAGCGTCTAACAACCGACAAATGCACCTACACAACCGTTAGCACTACATATGAACATACACCAGCGCCATTGGTTGTTCAATGCACAGCACGTGCCAAGCGAGTATGGCGAGCGGACTTGTGTAGGTGAACATGTTCATGTGTGTATGTATGTCAGGCACGTAGCCAGTAGGGACTTAGCGGGCTGAGGCCCCTCCCGATGTAATACAAATTCTTACAAATTTGTGCTTTTATAATTTTTTGATTTTTGAATTGATTTTTTTTTATTGTCTCTAACTGTATGCTAAAACTTTGACAGTCTCAAGTCCAAAATAAAATACATAAAATTTTTTTTTGTACTAGTTTGAACTATAATTACATTTAAGAAAACAAATAAAATTAATTAAACGTAAAAGAAATGTTTTCCGGCAGTGGTGTTCGACTTGCTAAACCACAATACTGCCGCGAACACATGTTTTCTTTTCATATGGATAACTCTGTTATCTCTCATCTCAACAAAAACCTGTTTCTAAGATGTCTATGATTGACAAAACTTAAAAATCTAATTTAATTAATCTAAATTTAAAACTCTATATAACAAGGAGTTTCAACTTAAGACAGGGCTACCAGACATCCTGGTTTTGACTAATTGTCCTAGTGGCCTGGTCCATAATTAAATTGTCCTGGTTTTTCAATGAAGGTCAATTTTTGCCAGATTTTTGCTATGAACAAGAGGTTAAGCTATCTGTTACTAGCAATTGAAAATCGATAACGAAACGTTTTTTTTAACATGTTGAACATTATCTGGCCAGTTTACTCTCTTCTTTTTAGTTTATTTGGTTAAATTCCGTCAAGTGCTAAAGCAACTGTACTTATAAGAAATATATTGTCACCATATTCACTTGTATCTCTGTTTCTGATTCGGGTGATAAGTGTTCAGGCTTATGGCAGCCATAATTTACGAATATAACTATGGGCTAATAGGTTTATTTATTGATTGGTTGGGAGAAATGTAAATGTCTGCAAATATAACTGACTGTCTTACTATGTTCAAATCTGCATTCTCAGGTACATATTTCTACTACTTATTTAAGTCGGGACATCGAGACCAAATCCATTAGACATGTTCCAAATCAAAGCTGAATATTTTACTGTTCTTGCGGATGAGCCCTTGAACGGTGCACAGATTGCACGAATTGCACGGTAAAAACCGGTTTTCGTATGGGGCAGATAGTGATACGAGTACCGAGTACAGAATATCGATACTTTTCATGAGTACTGAGTAGTATCGAGAACTCGATACTTTTTGACAAGTACTGAGTAACTATCACGAATACCAAAAAGAAGCGACGTGTTAAAAACTTAGTTAAGTCAGAAAATTAAAAAAATATTATAAACAAATTCGTTCTTTCAATTGCAAAAACTGTTTAAAAGTCACCCAACAAACATTGCGGTGAAAGCTCGAAAATGATCATCTCATTTACTTCAATGGTGGCATAACAAAAAAAGCTTTAAAGTTTTGAATCTAAATATTCAAATATTCTGCAATTTTCACGTTTGCCTTAAAAATACTTGGAAGTAGGAGTATTATCGATACTTGTTTTCAAATATGAGTACTGGCATCGATTCTTCTTTAGAGTATTTTAAATGAGTACTAGTATCGATACTTTTCTAAAAAGTTCTATCACAGCGTTGCAAGCTGTAAACATATATATTTACGCACACAAACTTCAGTAGTACGCGAAGATTTCATTGGCTTTGTTCCAATCCATAGTCACTTTTCCGAAAATTTGACAAAAAGTTTTTTTTGTTTGTTAAAAATTCATGTTTTTCAGCGCAAAATGAAAAATTAAGATAGGTTTCTGAAATTTTGCCACAACTATTTTTTTTGTGACGGACGACGAAAGAAAAAATAAGTGGATTTATTTGACCACGTCTAATATACATACTTGCATTGTATGTGTATCTATAAGTAACCCTTTTGTGATATCATTAATGATGCTATTTTTCGTTCAAAAATTTATATAATTATACTTACGGTGGCCATATTTATGAGAGCCGAATACGGGACAAAAAATAATTTTGCTAATTTTTTCGGCAAGAGCTTACAGATCTTAAAGCTTTCTTCAATGATCCTATATGTATTAGCCCGGAAACAGTGTTTTTTTATTAACATCACAAATTTGTAGGATAATTTTCTCGACATTTTCTCCCTGTAAAATTAAAAAAAAAAAATCGTTAAAATTTAATATCATCAAGTGCAATTTTAAGTCGCTAAGGCTTACCATTATTTTTGGAAATTTTTTATTTATTTTTTGTTGACAGTGTTACGCAATTTTCTCGTACAAAGTAGGTAAGTATGTTCGACCATTTTCTTGAAAGAGAAGTAAATGAGCAGTACTTTCCACTCGCAGTTTATTATAGTCAATTTCAATGAGTTACAAACCTGCAAACCAAATTTTCTTCTAAAGATTCTAATTAAAAAGTTTAAAATTTTGGTGAAACATTGTAGAATTAATTTCTATAGTTTTTTGCACAAAGTGGGAAATTTAGTATAATATGTTTTTTGTTAGCAAAAGAGCTTTACTTTCATAAAATAAATAATAAACATTAAATAAACTAAGGAAAAATAGCCAAAACTTACTAAAATGTCGAGTCCTAATTTCTATTTTGGTCACTGTATGTATTCCTCGATTCGAGTCACTGGCATTCAGATTAGAAAATAATAACTGTTTATGAAGAAAATTACGATCATATATGTACCAACATCACTTAAAACTTCTTCATCAGCTTGCTATTTTAATGAGCTGTAAGGCGTCGAAACACCGAATACGGGACAAATACAGGACATTAAAAGAAAGACAGAACATTTGGCGTCCCGTATAAAATAAATAAATTGCCAGGACAATGGGTCAAAAAAGAGGACTGTCCTGTATAATACAGGACGGATGGTCACCGTAATTATACTGCATAAAATGTGTAAGACTTACTTCATTTGTTTTGCTGTTAAAGATGTTCTTACACGATTTGTATTTGCATCTGTAAATGTGACTTTTTTCAATACATATGTAATTGCGTATGCCTGTCAAATTTACAGTCTTTATTTAACTATTTAAAAATACGTTCTATGAAAACGAAATAAACTTAACTCAGATGATTCTATGACAGATGAAAATATAAACATTTCAATTTCTTATGTAATATTCGTTGTACAGAAACATATATAATTGGCCTTTACACGATATGTTGACATTTCCATATGTAAACAGTGGCATGTACACATGCAAATACATATCGTGTAAGAACACCTTAAGCACGTATCCCCTACAAAAAAAAAAAATCCTAACTACGGGCCTGATATACATATGTAAGTACATATTTGTGTGCTGTGCTCCTACACAGTGGGCGCTAGGTACCGATTCATTTGAGGCAAATGGCTGGAAACAGGTTCGTGGTTGGCTTACTCTGCAGTGCTGGTGCGAATGCGTTTAGAAAACCTAAATACATACACATGCATGCGCACTACTTTGGCATTAAGTATTTACATATGTATGTATGTATAGAGTAAATATGTAGGTATGTCTTTTTTTATTTATGTACATGCATATGTATGTAAAGTGCATAACGACGTCGCGGCGGATACAAAGGGCAGCAGCAATGGCAATAATTGATTGCGCCGCGCTCCTCCTCAGTATGCAATCAATGCGTGAGCCAATCACAGCCATGCATTTATCCTCGACCAGCGCTCGTTGCTCGCCCAACACTCTAGGCATACACTCTAAAAGTGCATGTTCTAAATATATATCATCAGAAAATACTGAAAATTCGCTTCAGATAATACGCTCTTTAAAATACATTTATGGAAGTTTTATGTACAGTATGTAATAAATAAATTAACTTTTTAAAGTTTCATAAATTGCATTTTATTTACATAAAATTTACAAAGAACTCAAACATTTTCAACCGGCTTCAAAAAAGGGGAGGTTATCAATTCTGCGGAGCCACGGACCACGTGAACCGATTCCGATAATTCTTTTTTTTTTTACCGGAAAGATGGTACCTTAAGGGTCGTCTCGTAATTTGGTTTAGATCCGATCATTAAATCATGAAAAATTTAACGGTACTCCAAAATTTGTATATGAGAATTTTTTTTTTTTATTTATTGTTTTATTTTTTGCTGAAAAATTACTTGCTTAATAAAAAGTTCTATAAACACAGGATGCACTCAACTTTCAAAAGTAATAAAAAATTTTACAAAAGAATTTTAATATAAATAAATTAAATAATTGCATGAAATTTGTACACTTTTATGTTGATTTTCGTCGATTTCGGTTTTCTCATTTTTTTAATACTTCGAATACCGTAAATTTAACTGAACTTGTATTTTTATCATGTAGCTCATTTTAATGGAACGAACCCCAAAACCCACCCCTTGTGTGCGCTAATGCTAAGTGCTCATATTTACTCAACTTTAAACACTTTTTGTGTAGTTTTTCTCTACGTGACAAATTTGGTATGTAAAAGTAAACAGACAGTGTTTAATTTTGCACACACTAGGAGAGGAAACTGGAATTGTTTAGAGGAAATTTTAAACATTTTATGTGTAAACTGTGAAATTGTGTACAATAAATGTTTAGAACTCAAAAAACAAATTTGAAATTTGTTCTACGCCAAACATATGATAAGTAAAAGTAAGCAAGCAGTGTTGAATTGAATTAACACGGCGTGTAAATTTGCATTCATTAAGAGAGGAAACTGGTTTCCAATCTTAATATGCGCAAATTAAAAAAAAAAAAAAATTTTTTTTAGAGTGTACATACTTAATACTCGTATTTATGTATATGTACATACATATGTAAGTGTTGTTTAGGGATATTTTTTGGTAGCCATCTCACGCATCGACAAACATATGTATATCTATACATATGTACATACGTACATCCCTCTTCATTCAGCTTGTCTCTCGCACCCGACCTGCAGCGTCCGTTGTCTGTTTTGATTGATAACAAAGCCATTATCGGTTGGATTGACGTTATCGCATTCGAAATTGAAGTCGATTTGGAAATTATGACAATCCGTGTCAATTGTGTTTGTTTTTGGCGTTTGTAAGTCCGTAATAACCTTCAAAGTACCTACCGTCGCTATGATGGCGTAGCCTTTGGCTTTATTGAGTCTATGGGACGAATAGGCCATAATACGAGTAGTTAATGCTTATTGTTGTTTTAACAACTTTGAATTGCCTACGCGAAGATTTTGTTTTTAGGTTTTACGTATACATACATAATTTATTTATAAAATAATTATTGTTTTTTGTTTTGCCACTCCTAGTAGTCATTGATTGACATTGTAAAATTACGGTTTAATCGATGTACGCCTGTACCGTACCAATGTTATACATTTACGCGTCGGATATTGAAATTTTTCTCTGTTTACTTAATGCCCATTTAATACACATCAAATGATTTATTGCGATTCAGCTGCTGCATAAATCATGGAAAGGAAGGTATAAACCTGTACCGCTCCGTTATTAGTGAGCTAATAAAATTTTTTATTTTTTTTTTGTATAATTCATTGTACGACCGTAAATCTCCTTAAACGCCACCAAAAACAAATTAATAATTTGTTCACTCAAAACATCAATATGAAAGATTTATAAATCATTCTAACTTTAGACTGAATATGCTTGCCGCAAAGTTAGATCAGTTGAAGCAGCCTTGGTCGCAAATGTTGGGGGTAGGGATGGCAGCGATTAATCACTTGATTAAATTAATCGATTATTTTTGTACAATTTGCGATTTAATTGCATCCTAGTCTTGTGTTTCAGTAATCGATTATTAATCGATTAATTGTGAAATAATCGTAAAACTATTTTCAGGAAATACGAATTCTGTAGTTGTCTAAAATTGCAAAAAGCCGCTAGGATTGCTCAATTTCAGAGCATAGTTTAGCTGTGCATGTAAGCCCATTGCGCCCCACAGTGGTAAAAACGGGCAATCTAAGTGGACATTGCTCATAGTTTCTAAAAAAAAATGGTCGAAATCACTTGAAAATTTATGAGTATCTTCTTAAGATACTTAACTGTACATACATAAATTGTGGCGCTGATAAGTGAGACGCACAGTGGGCGGGGGCAGCAAAAAATAGTTAATCGAAAGTTGAAAATTTTTTGAACACAATCTTTAGACAGATATCTAGATTTATAGAATCTAAAAGAGTTTTCAGTTTAGTGACCATTTTTATACTTTTCCAAGCTTCTAAACTTGAACATTTATAAAAACTAAAAAGTAGTAAAGAAAGATGCTCATCTAAAAATTAAAATTTTTTATAGCAGGAATTCAGTTGCTAAACGCCCTATCTCAGCATATTTTCAATGTATTTTCATTTGAGATAAGGTGTTGCAGAGTTTTCCCAAATGTTGATTGCGAGAAGATTCCTTGTTAGAGTTGATTGTAGAGTTCCAAGTAAAAGTCGCGGTTTACTAATTTACAATTTAATTTAATCTACTTTAATTGTTCAATAGAAACTTTACAATTTTTATGCGAAAATTCTAAGCGGGCGAACGATATATGCAGGCGGTAGAAAAGCTAACGAACGGAAAGCAATTAGCCGAAAAAACAATAATAAACGAAGAAGGAGAATAAGAAATGTCAAATGACGTTTGCTATTAACTCCTTCGTGGTGAATTAACGTTAACCCTTGTAAGTGCGTGAACATTAACTCTTATGTTATACATGCAAGCATTAATCTTTAAAGTTAGTATATTCGAACCCAACATACCGCCGCCCTTGAACTATCTATGTTCATATGATAGGTTCAACTTAATTTTACAAATAGATGGTTACAATACATTTTTGAAAGAAAAAACTTTAAATATAGGAAAAAAGACTTAAAGTACGATTATCTTATTGGGCTATGAGTCAGCATCATCGCAAAATAGGTCTCCTTTGGTGGGTAGTAGGCACAACTTTGCTATTGGACGAACAAACTCTCCATTAGACGTTTTCACTGTCACGACTCGTACGCGACCATCAGCTCCAGGATGACATCGAATTACCCTCGCTAGTAACCACTTTGTAGGGGGAGTAGGCTCGTTGAACACAGCTACTATATCTCCTTCTTCGAAGTTGCGTGTTGGCCGAAACCACTTTGTGCGACGTTGCAGACTGACAAGATATTCATCTCTCCAACGACGCCAAAAATGCCGCCTTATTGCGGAAATTAACTGCCAACGTTGATAAAGATTTCCGCAGAACCCTTGACCCTCAGGTTAAGCGGCTCCCCAACGATAAAGTGCCCTGGGGTTAACGCTTCGAGGTCGACTGCGCTTGTTGTGCCTTCACATAACGGGCGGGAGTTCACGCATGCTTCGACTTCTGTCAATAATGTACTAAACTCTTCGTATGAAAGTAGAGTTTCGCCCAAAACGCGTTTTAGGTGGTATTTAATGCGCTTGATACCGGTCTCCCAGTATCCACCCATATGCGGCGCGGTGGGCGGATTAAAACGCCACTCTATGTTCGACTCAGAAAAGAAAGATTGTAGTCTGCCGTCTGCCATGCATTGCTCATATCTGTTGCGAAGTTCCTTCTCAGCGCCGACGAAGTTTGTGCCATTATCTGAAAACATCGTCTTGCAATACCCTCTTCGGTTAATAAACCTTTTGAACGCGTTAAGAAAAGCGGAAGTCGATAAATCTCCGACAAACTCTAGGTGCATTGAGCCAGTGCACATACAAATGAAGGAGCAAATATAGCCTTTGATGGACTTCGCCCCTCTTCCGTGCGTGTACTTAAACATGTATGGGCCGGCAAAATCTACGGCGGTGCGAATGAAACAGCGGACGTAGGTAACTCGAGATACAGGAAGATCACCCATTGATTGCGTAGCGAGATTCCGATTTAAATAAGTACATTTTACGCACTTGCGATAAGCACTGCGGATCAAGTTGCGGGCGCCAATAACCCAGTAGCGCCGTAGCAAAACCACTTGCATTAAACGTGGTTCTGCATGCAGAGTGAACCGATGAATGTCGAATATGATTAGCTTCGACAGCGGAGAATTCTTGGGTAAGATGACGGGATGCTTTACATCATATGCGACATCCGCGGACTTCAGTCTACCCCCAACTCGAAGAATACCATTTGAGTCGAGAAACGGCTGCAAGCGCAACAGGCTACTGCGGAGCGGGATCGGCCTTTTTGCGCTGCAATGAAAAATTTCGCTAGTAAAGAAAAAAATGTTGGGTATACCTTATTAAACGGCGCTCAGCTTCAGCTATCTCAACACAGCTAGGAGGACCACATCTTTTTTCGCCAGTGCGTTGAATACTAGAGCGGGTATTGAGCATAAAACGTAAAACGTAAGCGATGATTCGCCGTAATTTGGAGTACGACGAGTATTTAGTCATTATCGACCAATGAAGATCCGAGTTTGTGACGTGAGAATGAACCTTCTTCCGTAGACCCAACTCCGTTACGTGCGTTTTTGATAAGCCTTGCTTCCAAAACTGGTTTGAACTACTCAGAAATTCTGGACCGTTCCACCATTGCTCATGGTGCAGAAGTTTTAGCGGAGTCATACCTCTAGAGGCGCAATCTGCTGGATTTCCTTCAGAGCGTACGTGATTCCAGCACTCCGGAGGAAGAATCTCGTGGATATCAGCGACCCGGTTTGCGACAAACGTTTCCCATCTGCTAGGGTGTGCTTGCAACCACGCCAACGTAATAGTTGAGTCCGTCCAAGCAAATAACGGGTATCGTAGATCACCCCAACTATGCAACACACTTCTAACTAACTTAGCAGCGAGGTGAGCAGCGCACAGTTCCAAGCGTGGCAAAGATGTAGTTTTAATCGGTGCCACTTTGGTTTTGGCCGAAATTATTGAAACGGTGACCTGACCGTCACTATGAACGGTGCGTGCGTACATCACTGCAGCGTAAGCGCGCTCGGAAGCATCAGCGAAAATGTGCAATTCAGTAAAGGATGCAGTCGTTCCACAACCGAGCCAGCGACTCACCTTCAAGTCTACTAGTTTCTGCAGCTGCACGCGATGATCAACCCATAGATTTGCTATTGTGTCTGATATCAAGTCATCCCATCCAACCTCAGCGCGCCAAATGTCTTGGAACCACATTTTCGAGCATATTGTCACAGGAGCAAGTAAGCCCAGCGGATCAAAGAGAATACTGGCATCTGACAAAAAGGCTCTCTTAGTCAAAATAGCGGGTGGCTCCTTTAGGTCGACTGCGAATGTAAAGTAGTCGCCCTCTATGTTCCAAATGAGGCCTAACGCATGAACGTCCTTACCGTCGACTATGTAATGGGATATAGTTTGAGATGACTTGGAGATGATTTCTTTCAGCTCAGCGCAGTTAGATGCCCACTTCCTTAGTTCGAAGCCGCCTTCTTGAAGAATTTCAGATACGTTTTGTTGAAGCAACCGGAGTTGTGACTTGCAAGAGGCTCCAGTTAGCAGGTCATCCATGTAAAAATCATTGAGGATCGCGTCAACCGCTTTCTTACACCCATTAGTTGTGCACTTAGCAGTTTGTTGCAACGCTTTTACAGCTAAGTGAGACGCGGCGGCCACCCCGTACGTTACGCGTAACATGCGGTAATCTCTAATGGGTGAAGATGGATCTGGACGCCAAACGATTCGTTGCAGATCGACGTGTTTCGACGAAACGCAGACCTGCCGATACATTTTAGCTACATCCGCGGTTACCGCGTAGCGATGCGTTCTGAAGCGCAGCAATATAGAATATAAATCTTGCTGTAGCTGAGGTCCAACAAACAATGCGTCATTAAGCGAGTTACCCGTGGTGGTTTTGGCGGACGCGTTGAAGACTACCCTCAGCTTGGTCGTAACGCTAGATTCTTTAATGACTGGGTGGTGTGGCATATAATACACCTCACTCGTCGTTTCAAACACCTCCTCCATGTGACCCATGTCAATGAGCTCTCTCATGAACTCATCGTAGCGCAAACGCAAATCGCTGTTGCTAGCGAGCCTTCGTTCTATGCATAGCAGGTTACGTATTGCGAAGTTTCGTGACTCACCCAATACGATTTTAGGTTTAAGCGGTAGTTCAACCACAAAGCGACCATCCGGCATTCTTTGATGTGTAGAATTGAAGTGATTCTCGCAGAAGTTTTCCTCATGCGTGAGATGCTGTTTCTGCGGCGAGTCTTCGAGCTCCCATAACCTAGCGAGCGCTCGATCTAATTGCACATCACAATGCAGCGATTGCAAACTAGGCGTTGGCGAACCAAGACTGTCAACGTTTCCAAATAAAGTCCAGCCAAAAACTGTTTTCTGGGCCATAGGCGTGCCAGACGGGCCTTTTCGAAGCTCCACACAGATTAGTTGATCCATTACATCCATGCCTACGAGTACGTTTATGCGGCCAGGCTTCGCGAAATATGGATCAGCTAGGAATAAGCCTTGGATATGTGGGCAACTAGAAACACTCAAGGTCTGCGTCGGCAAATCGTTGGTGATTTTCGGAAGAATCAGCGCGGTAATATCGTAGCATTTATCCGAACAATTAGACGAAAGCGTGAGCAGCGTTTCGCCTCTACAGCGACCGCCTTGCGATGAACAAATTCCTGTGACAAATACAGAAGACGATGAACGTGTTAATCCCAAACGCTGTACACATGCCTCCGTTACAAAAGAGGCGTACGACCCGGTGTCGAACAATAAACGTGCTGTCTGCCAATGACCAGCGCAGTCTCGAATCTTTACTAATGCGGTAGATAATAAACTGATTTTTGCGTTGCAGGTAGCGGAATGGAACCAGCACTCAAGCAGGACGAAACGTGTGAAGCAGCGCTATTCACTGCTAAAGCGGTGGCAGATGAACCAGTTGCATGGTTGCTTACAGATGCGGGATTCGAAGCGGCAGCGATGGCATCGACGACATGAGCCGATGTGGCGGCGGGTGAATGTGTATTACTGTGAAGCAGCGTATGGTGTCGTTGATGACATATTCGGCAAGCGGATGAGCTATTACAGCGTTCTTTGTAATGCCCTGGACTTAAACAATTCAAGCAAGCTTTGGATTCTTTGATAAATTTAGATTTTGCAGTAAAATCTAAACTACGAAATTTGTCGCAAGAGTAGATCTTATGAGCTGCATTGCAGTACATGCAGCGCGCGGGGTTTTGCTCTGGAATTGCGTGAAATACTTTTGTTGATTTCGCAGCATATTTATGCGTCGTCGGCTTAATAGTTGTTGCCTGCGGAGCAGGCGCGGTAATCATTGCCAATGAGCGGCACCTAATCTCCAGAAACGTTGTCAGTTGTTCGAAGGTGGGGGGTTCATCGCTAATAAGCGATAACTCCCACTGCTTGCGGGTTTCGAACGCGAGTTTATTTACTGTATTATGTACTAACCAATCGTCCCAGAAGTCTACGGGACGCCCTAATGCTTTAAGCTCTCGTATGTGTTGCTGAATTGCATCGAGAACACCCTTAATAGCATCAGCAGTGTCACCCGAAGCCTTGCGAACGTCAGCTATCGCCCTGAGGTGTGCCTCAACAATAACTCCCATTACTTTATAGCGAGATTTTAGCAAGTCCCACGCCTCTGTGTAGTTTGCATCACAGATTTTGAAGCCACTAATAATGCTTAGTGCATCACCTTTTAGGCAACTGCGCAAATAATGTAATTTTTGCCCATCTGATAAAGCGGTGTTGGTGTCAACCAACGAACAAAAGGCGTCATAGAAGGCGACCCAATCCGTGGAATCGCCCGAAAAGGTTGGTAAATCCATTTTGGGCAAACGTATAGCCGCAGACACAGACGCTGACGTAGCTGCAGGCTGTGTTGGCGGTTCCGCCCTACACTTTTGAACCCGTTTGAAGTTGGCTAAAGCTTCAGCATACCAAGTTTCACCTTGTATGCGAGCGTTCTCCTGTACTTCCACATTGTCAGATCCACAAGATGTTTCAACGTCATCTTGAGCAGCGGTGAAACGTACCCATTGCTCGTTAAGGAGTTGTAAATAGCTTGATACAGTGTCGACGTCCATGAGAAAAGCTTCGTCTTTGCTCTTTGTCATGTATCTTTTAATAGCATTTATTGCGGAGTCGCGAATTTTTACCGAAGAAGACATTATTAGTTTTGCTTTATGGGTCGTTTGTAGATAAACGATATTTTATGTTGATTGCAGAGGGCAAAATAAAGTCACGGCAGATTTGTAAGTAATGCAAAGTAAAAAAAACTGATAATTCGTAGAGGACAAATCAGAGGACCGCAGAATGTCACAATAACGCATGTATTTCGAACGATTTGCAGAGGTCAAGCCAAAGTCACCTTGAGTTATGAAATTTATGCTTCTTGTACGTATGTATGTAGGTGTGAATGTGACCTACACCTTGATTTCCATACAATTGCGCTTATACGAGCGGTTCGAGAATATTCGGACCGAAGGACCAGCGAATGTTGCAGAGTTTTCTCAAATGTTGATTGCGAGAAGATTCCTTGTTAGAGTTGATCGTAGAGTTCCAAGTAAAAGTCGCGGTTTACTAATTTACAATTTAATTCAATCTACTTTAATTGTTCAATAGAAACTTTACAATTTTTATGCGAAAATTCTAAGCGGGCGAACGATATATGCAGGCGGTAGAAAAGCTAACGAACGAAAAGCAATTAGCCGAAAAAACAATAATAAACGAAGAAGGAGAATAAGAAATGTCAAATGACGTTTGCTATTAACTCCTCAAGAATGATAGAATACAAGATTGCGCCGTCCTGGCCGTTGACATTTGTGTACCACAAGTAAACAAAGAATAGAGCGAAAAGAAGAACGAGTTGAAACTGCCAAAGCAGTTCACTTTACAGCGAAAAACGTGTTTTAATTTTGCTAAATGTGAAAATATTGCATTTTTCACCTAATCTATTAGAGAATAGTGAACATTTTAGTGCACTCCATTGCTTTGCAATTGAGGCTGCTTCAGCAAACGTTTTAGTGCACTCCATTGCTTTGCAATTAAGGCTGCTGCAGAAAACTGCAGCAGCATCATCCTGCGGGATTGATTAGTTACCTTGCTAATGGAAGCTGCGTGGATCAGAAACAAAATCCTTGTGAGGAAATGCTGTTAATATAATAATAGAGAAACATTTCGGGAACGGCTTTGCCGTGCCCTATGTACACAAAATGCAGCGATTCGTCTCAGCGCTACACTTGCATCTACGCTTCTTGCATCTTGACGGCTGTCGCAATATAACACACAGCACTTCATTGAATTAGTTTTTAAGCAGTCTTCAACTAAAAAATCACTCGCAAATTGCAAATTAACATAATTTAAACTGATTTTTCACTTATAATTAAATTTCTCTTTAGCTGATTTGTAAACAAAGGTTTATTTACAAGTTACCACAACTGTCAAAATCGGCAAAACTAAAGTAGCGGTACCACTGACGGCGCCACCTTTGTTCGCTGCACCGTGTTAACTCCTTCGTGGTGAATTAACGTTAACCCTTGTAAGTGCGTGAACATTAACTCTTATGTTATACATGCAAGCATTAATCTTTAAAGTTAGTATATTCGAACCCAACATAAGGCGTTTTTTGAACCGAATTCTGAAATAGGGTGTTCTTTAACCAAATTTTGGGATAGGGTGTTTTTCAATATTATTATGGAATGGGCATTCTTCAATAACATTCTGAAATACGGCGTTCTTGAAAAGTTTTCTGAGATATGGTGTATTGGTTGATGGTTAACCCAATGAAATCCATCAATATCAATATTTTCTTATAGTGAAAAATATTTTCAACACACAAAAAAGAAAATAACGAGAAAAACACGAAACAAATTTCGTACGTATTTGTCCAGCCGCTTATTCTCATTTGCAAGGAGATAATGCATGAGTTAATGCAAATAAAGACGGTTTATGCAGATAAGCGAGCCAGTTTGTCAACCGTAAAATATTCAGAATGACGAGTTGAATTGGTCCAGCCGTGTCTCTTTGTAAACACATTAACTCGAACAAAATTTAGATATTTCAACGAAAGTCAGGACCGAAGTTGCCTTTGGTATAATTTAGGTTAGTATTAAAATTTGGCGAAAGCTGTCAATAACCACGCTCACCTCCCATGTACTGATTAACAGTATTTTTGTATTATTATTAGTTTTTACGAATTTTGCTGTTCAAATTTCCATGTCAAATATATCAACAAATATTTGTGGGCAATTTTGCACCAGTCGTTGTCTATGGGTTAATGATAAAAAAATCCTATACATGCACAGTACTTCATGTATTAATTTTCAAATAAGCATCCCAGTAGCGAAAATGGACACCGGTGACATCGTCACTAATGAGGATTTAGTGACATCGTCGCATTTGCTGTGGATCCTAAACGACATATAGCTGACAATGACACTGGTGACAATGTCATGCAGGTGTACTCCTATCGAAGACTTATAACAGACAATGTCTTGCAGCGGTCACTTAAAAAAAAATCCATTGCAAGATACTGTCGCTTGAATGTCATTAATGATCACAGCATGACCAATTAATGCAGATGACATCAACGACGAAATTACCATTTATATGAAAAAGTCATGAACGACTTCCATACAAACGGAGCCCAAAGTCATTTAAGACGTAACTTTTCCGTACAAGACTCTTAAGTGACGAATGCATGCCATTGGCTACGGGTATATTGTCAATGGTTGGTTTACTGTATACTGTGGGGAATATAAATTTTTGAACGTTGTATTGTCAAAGCAAGTCTTTGACTCTTTCTGATTGGCTGAAGCAGAAAACTTTCTGATTTTGAATGACAATACCTCTAGCTCAATATACAAGCCAGGTAGCTTTTCATAAGCCAATATAATTAAGTTGGGTAAGTCTTTCATACAAAATAAGCTAATAGCTTAAATTTTTAATCAAATAAAACACGCCTACTGTAGAACAGTGTTGCAAATGCCTTAGCCTTTAAAGTATCCATAAAAAATCGAAAACTGTATCCATATGTATCCAACGAGAAGAGCGGACATTTTTACACAGTACATCTATGGCAGATAAACTCGGGCCCCTTAACAAACTTATTAACATGTAGTAAGTATTTTCCCATCCTTAGACACGGATTTGGGAAACAAAGGCCCGTAGTTATAGTCAAAATTAAGTCGAATCTAAAGTTAATTGCAGCTTTTTGACATAATTTTCAATGGGATACCTGTCAAAAAAGTTGCAACTAACTTTAGTGTCGACTTAATTTTGACTATAACTACGTTCAGTAAATTGTTATTTCGTGCTATTATCTTGTTGCAATGTTTTTCAATCAAACTGGTAGATTGGGAGCTATCTATGAAATTAAAAAATTACTCAAAAACTTGTATTTGTCTATGAATTACGCTTTCAAGTAAAATTTATTTTCCGGCTTTTTTGAATTCTGAAAATTTTGAATCTATAAGTTATTTTTAGTACAGTCAATTTATTGTTGAAAATTCTGCATGGTTGTCAATTTCCTTTGAATGCTAAGAGAGGGGTTGCTCGTGATGTTAGAGTTGATTTTTTTCCATTACAGTTAACACGTACTACAGGTCGGAAAACTTTTTAAAATTTGCAAACTACTTTGTGTTATTAAATGCATGTTTATGTAATAAAGAAAAATTTCTTGCTTGGAGGATGAGCAGCCGACTGTTAAAAATATTATAATAGCTCGTACATAAATAAGAAAAAAAAATTCCTTCAACTTACGAATACTTGGGAGAACGTATCCAAATTTACACTGAGGAAAAAAGACGAAGTATCCCTCAAAATTTATTTATCCAATTGGATAAATATGTATCAAAACGGCAACACTGCTGTAGAATTGTACCAGAATTAAAGTCAGTGGCGAAGATGAACCCGATTTCACAGTCGATGACGACTATGACGAGGTGCGAGACACTTTGACGGCTGAAAATAGCAAAGCTGCTGACCTGCCAGCTGAACCATTTAAGTAAGTATGGCCGGCGAAGAGCTGACAAGGCGCATGCGATTGGGATTTAAGTTTGCAGTCTCTCAAAAATCGAGTTTAAGGTTTTATAGAGCGCATTGTGTGAAAGGTTAAAGTGCACCATCAACAAATTGATTGGTTCTTATCAGAGCGGCGTTAGACCTGGTAAGTCGAGCTTATACCAGCTAATAACCGTCATAGCCTACAGTTTGGAAAGGATCTATGCGTGAATGAAAGAAGTTGTCTCTATGCCGTGATGTCTGAATTAGGCATCCGCCCGAAACTGTTACCGCTAGTGAATGAAGACCAGCAGCTCAGTGAGAGCTCGGAGGGGCTCTTTTGAAAAGTTTTTCTCTTCCTAGATTCGATTTATGCTGGAAAGAGACAACGAATAAGATTACTACTGTGCACTAAATGTGTCCCTTCGGGATGGCCACGACTTTCTCGATCAGGAAAGTCGAATTCAGAATTACCGCAATTTACAAATGGAAAGCTAAGAAGAGGTGGAGCTGTGATACGAGTACCTACAAGCCTTGTGGAACCAGAACTTGCACAATGAGATTATTCGGCGAGGCAGCTCTTATAGTAAATACGTATTCGAACGAAAGATTCTGTGGAATATTTACGACACTTTACACCCTGGCGAATACCACAGACGATAGAACATTGAGTTGTACGAGATTTATAATTCACTCGGCTGGCTTGGTCATATCATCCGAATGGATACAAACGCTCCAGACCTGAAAGTGTTCGATGCTGGAGGTGGCAGAAGAAGAAAGTCCATTTGCGATGTAAATTCCAAATGGAGTAGCACTGGTCTGTACTTAGGGCCGTTTGCATTATGTCTATGCTATTAGAATTAACTACATAGACATATGTACATACATACATACATATAGGATGCCAGCAAGCACTAAATAAAAACGCACTCTTTATTGCACTCCCGGCCAAAATCGTATATGGCTTTGGGATTATTGCGGCCATTAAGAAAACGGAAAGGATAAGAAGCAGAAACAACTGAAATATGTCTTCTTGATATCTATATTTAGTACTTTTATAACCCAATATTTGGCCAAGCGATTGTGTGCATTTAAGTACAAATGAACTTTTATGATAATCAATAAAACAAATTTTTTGACATGAATTTTCAATCACAATTTTAATAAC